TTCGGAGCTTGGAATAATTGATAGCGTAGTAGTCCCAGGCGAACTTCGTGCCGTTGTCCGGCTGCTGCACGGCCTCTATCTCACGGATAGCACAGCCCTGCTCTGCCAGCATGCGGCGATGCTCCTCCGGCATATCCGACAACGCGGCCACCACGAGCGGGTACGCCGCGTTAACCTTCCTCAAGCCTTTGGCTAGCCCCACCACTCCCTTCACGTAGTCGCCGTCTCCTGCCAAGAACGTCACATACGCCCGGTCATGATTCATCTTGCCTTAACTCATAAACTGCCGTAAAAGAATAAGGCGATAGATACTAAAAATATATGACACCTGATGGAAGAAACGAGAGATTGCCTTCCCAACATGTTTTTCCCTATAATTTATTTATTTATTTATTTATTATTATTATTATTATTGAGGAAGAGTTCCGCAAGTCCTTTCTCGCTTTCTTTCTTGCAAGAAAAGAAGTTCCAAATCTAAAGCTCATCTCTACAGCGTCGGGCAACACTTGGCTTGGCCACGTGATGGCACAGCATTTGCTAACGTGGGGCTCACAACGTGGCAGAAGCAATTTCAACTTGCATGGCTGCCGCGTGTCTGCTATATTCATTACCCAGCATATTCATTCATTCATACTGTTCCTCTTGGCATGTAAAAGCAAGAGATGCAAATTTCATGAATCTAAGTTAATTTCTGTTTTTTGACAACACAAGCTGTACTATTGATTAACTACAAACATCATTATGCACTAATATAAAACCAAACTCAAGTTCACAACTGGGTTTTGGAAAGAAAGAAATGACATCATATTGGGTTTCATATTGATTAAGTCTTATAAAAATTTGATAATTATTCCAGCCTCAAATTTTTTTAACGTGGGTGAATATTCCAATTTCATTAAGAATCGGGAAATATAAAACTCTTCTTGCTTTAGAAGTATCAAGGGCGAAATCTATGTATATATATTTTGAGAGCAAAAATATTGTGCAAGTAAAAGCCCTAATAACTGTTTCAGATCAATGAATTCACATACAAAACAAAAGGTTCCTGGTGAGAGTTAGGATTTATTCTATATGGCAGAAGAAGAAGTTGTGTGTATCCTTAACATTTGATTGAAAAGAAATTACTTAGAATCTTGCTATCATTCATAGTAAAAATTTTGACCTAGAACTAGAGGATTCCAAAATTTTTTACCTTATACGAAAGTTTTTTCACATAAAAATTCTGATATTCTTCTTTTAATTATCACACTATATTTATATGTTATTTTGTGTATTTTTGACGGGACCTAACAATAGTATCAATTTCAAAGCTAGATAATTAATAAATTCAAAGTTTAGAGGTTGATGTACGTGAAGTATTGACAAATCAAGGACCAAAATGATCAAGGGACGAAGAATTGAGGGGCTAGAGTATCAAAATGATTAACTGCATCATCTTTGTGGCTAAAACCTTGGTATGCCACAGCCGACTCTCAGACCACGTGTGACGAAGCCTTCAGAGAGATCCAGTCGAGAAGACCGAGACGTAAGAGTACTTGATCGAAGGAGAAATCGAGCTCAAGGTCAATCTGAGCTCGAAGGCGGGCAATTGCGGAAGAGAACATTAATAGACAGACCACCAGTGACGTTATTCGTCGGCTCAATCCTCACCGTCTTCGCTTTCGTATCCACTGTCGACTCACGCATAGAGAAGCCTAGAACAGGGAGAGCGCCGAAGTGAAGAAGGAAAGTAATCCAGAAGCCCAACCTCTCCAACTTGTCGAGAGAGAAAATCCTGGACCCTCTCTCAATTGCCAATTCCGACTGACGTCAATATTCAGCCCAGGCAAATTGAAGAGAGAAGAACAGGGAGATCCCAACTCGACTGGCAGAATTAAGTCTGAAGAGAATACAGACAGAGAGAAGCGAGATTGAGGGTATGTTGATCCGATCTCGAAAAGAACAGACGACAGGGAAGAACAGAGCTTGTCGTCACTTCCCGTCATGTCCTTGCCATCATCCGAGTTCTACGTGATTGTTGTCGCAGTTGAATAAGTACTCGATGAGATTCCGAGTTAGAAAACAATCAATCACATTAGGGGAGACATTTCCAGATAACAGTCTCCTCACAAAGAACGAGGGAAGAAAGAGATAATTATCTCTTGTAGGGGAGATAGAATTGCAGTCCCCTAGTTAATTCGGCAAGAGAACTGTTAGTAGCCTCGTCTAATATTGTGATTATCGAAACCTCCACGCTTGTCTAACCTTAGTAATTATTCGAATTTTTCAAAATTATCTAGAATTTAGAAAGTGTAAGATTCTTTTTAAAAGTGTAGAGGGTGGAGTTTACATATATATATATATATATATATATATATATAGCAAGTAAAAATGTTGTGTGAACAAGAGAACTGTTTTTAGAATTGTTTGGAATCAATGAATTCTCGGTCAAGAAAAGTTTTTTAAGAGAGTTAATATTCCTTGTGCACTTTAGAATAAGTAGTTATGTGCTACTTTAATTATCTAAGAAGAAATTATTTACAATTCTACTATTATTCATAATAAAAATTCTTTCTCTGATCAAAAACCTATCATAATTTTTTACCACACACAATGGGTTTTTTTTTTTTGGTTGATCTTTTAATTTCTACATTATATTTATTTATTATTCTGCATATTGTTTTTGGGATCCAATAAGAATCCAAAAAGTTAATTAGGTAAAATTCAGAATCTCTTCAACTAAATTTTATTTAAAAAAGCACAAAAGTTATATTTATTGTGAAATAGAAAATCTAAACTGAATTGAATACAATAAAACATGACCATTTTATCTTTGGTTGAACCATCCAAGTGAAATGTCCAATCATAATGAATTTTTTTTTTTTTTGGGGTTGTGAAAAGGGGTCAAAGGCTAGGAAAGATCAGTTATCAACAGAAATACTAGATCTATCACAATTAAGTAAGGCTCTCAAATTAGTGGATGGGAAAAGTCCATTCCTTAAACCCCATGAGAAGAGAAATGCTCAACCTAGTTAGAAAGTCTGCACATGAATTAGACCAACTGTTGGTGCAAACAATCTCTAACTACCACTACAATTAGAGAAGGTCCTTGATTCTCTCAACAATCAGGATAAACTTGGAAATAGAAATCTTATTACATGAGATCATGTCAATTAAATTTTTGAAATCTATTTCCAAAATAGTCCACCTAATACTCAAATTCCAAGCCAAATTTAACACCCTTCCAAACATCACAAGCCTCAGCAAAGAGAATTGAGCCAACGCCGAAGTTTCAAGAAAAACCTCTACTCTACTCGCCCTCAACGCCCCTCAAGAAATCTCTACGTCCCACTTTTAGACCGTCTTATTTAAAGGTTCCATCCCTACCTCTCCTCGGAGGAACCCTCTGTCGTAGATTACTTCTCACTGAGTGGCTCTCTCAGCTCTAGGGAGTGGCTGGGAACAAATTGGCCACCCCTCTGACCTTCCTAGAATCCACCAGCCTCTGAAACTCCTCATCAAAAATAAATTTGTTTCTCCAGTTCCAGATCAACCACCTAGTAACACCCCACCTACCAACACCCGTACCAGGAGGGAGAAACATCACAAAAACCCTGAAGCGTGCCCAGGTTATAGTTATTAGTTGAATCGTCCGTCTCTCTAAAGGAAAAAGCTTAGCAGCAGCCATGTCCATTTCATTGGTCTCTCATGCGAGCTTAATAATCGGAGAAACGGAAAGTTTACAGACAGATATTGAGAGAATGTGAGCCACGGTTTTTGTTTTTCCTAATTTGTTTTTTTCCCCCCTCGGCAACAAAAACAGAGCATTGAACAGCAAAAATTCAACCAAACTTACTTTTGTGCCATGGAAGTTTAAGAATTTGACAATTTTAAGGAAATGAAAATAAAAGAAAATTAGCTTTGCCCTCCCGCCGGCAGTGTGATTGCTCCCGGTATATCTTTCTATCGCTCTCACCCAAAAAAAGAAACGTTGAAGTTTAACAGAGCCCTGTGTGCTCTGGGTTCTCGTGCTTCTTTATGGAGAATGGGGAATGTTCTCCAGCAGCAGCAACTAGTGGGTGTAGCACAGGAGGAACTGACGATGAATAACCAGTTATTTGACTCTAAGAAGCCCATATTAATTCACCAACAGCAACAGGGTAGAATTTGGGGTTCCAGTAGGATGGGGGTTCTGTTCGTGTCGTGTCTTTCTATGCTGCAAGTGGAGAAGGAAAGCAAAGGAGACAGAGTTGAGTTTAAACCTTCCATATTCCCCGTTAAGTTTCCGTCCCTCTCTCTAGACGAGATCCTTGCTTTTAAATCAAAGGTGAAGATTCTTTACTAACTGAACCATGCTTTTACTACGAAAGAGCAAACCCTTCAATGGGCATTATCCAAATTCATTGATAAACTCATCCATCCTTCTTAATTTAGCTTTGATCTTTCTTTCCCTCTTCCTTCTTTCTTTTCCTCATTGAAATAAGAAATAGCCATTGTCAATGGAGCCATTTGGGCACCAATGTGTGAGAACCTTGGAATAAAATAATGAAATCAAACACCTCAGTCAAGAGAAATCACATTCAAGATTAATTGAAGAGTTCAATCTCCAATTGTCCTTAAGCTCTTCCTTCTTTTTATTTTCTATATTATCTCTATCTACTCGGAAATTTTACACCAAAATTAAATAACAAAGAAGGGAAAACCAATTTATAGGATTCAAAAATTATATTATTATGCACCCCAAAAAAAAAGAAAAAATCACAACATTTCTAAACACAAGGAAACTTTAAATATATGTTTTCATTATGTTCACATACCCAACAAATTACAAATTGAACCCAAAAGCCAAAACCAGTTTTAGATCTCCCTACAATTAATCTTATTCGGTTTTGAAACACAAGGCCATCCCCATCCCTTCAATCAAGTAAATAAAATAGAAAAAAAAATCTATTTAAATATAAAAAATTAAAAACACACCCATAAGAACCCCAGCTAAGCAACTAAAACCACTGGCTGCCAGCCTAGGCCGCCGATGGGGCTGTGATGTAGTTAGCACCGCCGGCCTTCGACAGCGCCGCTATAAGCTTCTCTGTTTCGCTCACGCTTCTCCTCCCATAATCCAGAGACTCATCATCATAAATATCCCACCATTTTTGCACTAGCATCTTTATGTCTTCCCTCTGCATGTTCTCTTCTTTCCCCGTGTACCTCCATGGCTTTGACCCCTGAATCACCATTAAGTTACAAATTTACCCTTAGGACTCTATAAGAGATTCTAAACAAAACCCAATTTTTGAGGTGGCAAATAACCCTAAGACTTGTTTGGATTTGCTTTAGAGAAATATTTCAAAAATAAAAAGTACTATTAACATTTATAAAAATTATTTTCACTAAAAGATCCGGTGAAATTGGTATATATTTCAAGATTATTAGAGTTATGGACCGAGAAATATGAAGGGTGGTTTGGTAATATCACTCACCGCAGCGCAGTAATGAACAACTTTTGCTTTCTCGAGCTCAATGTTCTCCGGATGGCGCCACAGCATGGCCAACACGAGGTTGTACACCGGAGGGATAGGCTTGTAAATATCCCGAAAGAACATGTTTAGAAAGTCCTGCGAATACAACCATTAAGCACAGATCCATTCCGAACTCGACCCAACAAATATGTGAATTAAAACACGACGTCAGATGACGGGAACAGGTCAGGCTCACTACCTGCTCGGCGAAAGGCGTGGGAGTGGTCACTTTGAGGGTGTTGAGAAGATCGTCGTAGACGGAGAGGCTTGGCTCATACACGAACATGCCGGCGTTAAAGTATAGCGGCGGCGCCGGACCCATCTCCGCCTCCGGCCAATGGACCTTCTCGGGGCATTGCTGGCAGTAACCGATCTTGTACTGAGGCGTGTGGGACCACGTCTTCTCGCAGAAACAGTCTTTGACGGCGTAGAAGAAGCCGTCCGGGAGGTCAAAGAGATGGTCGATGTTCTCGTACACTTGAATATCTCCGTCGAGGTAAATCATCTTGTGGTACTCCACGAACTGCAACCAAAAGATTCAGAACAACCACTGAGGTTATTTACTCGCAGTGGCCATTTTAAAATATTTTCCATCCCGAACTTCTATTCAGTAAAAGTTAAAATTTAGACCTCAAGATTTAAGAGTGCAAAAACTTATTTTTCTGAAAACAATCTTAAAATCACATGCAGTAAATAGTAATTTTATAGATATATTTTGAGCTTTTCTTTGGTTCTATATATTCACGGGCAATGGATCCACTGCCCCATATGTATATTACACGTATCAGGAGAATATTTGTTTACATAAACAAAAGACTGTGCAGTATGCTTACCTCCCAGATGCGGAGCTTGGAGTAGTTGATGACGTAGTAGGCCATGGCGAACTGGGTCTGGTTCTCAGGCGGGTATACCGGCTCGATCTCCCGGACTATGCAGCCCTGCGCCGTCAGCATGCGACGGTGCTCCATCGGCACGTCCGGCAGGACAGCCACCACAAGCGGGTAGGCGGTCCTGACCTTCCGGAGGCCCTTGGCCAGCCCGATCACGCCCTTCACGTAGTCACCTTTGCCAGCTAGGAACGTCACGTAGGCCCGGCTAGTGAGGCTCGCCGCCTTCACCAGGCCAACGGCGTTGTTGGCAGCACTAACCAAAAGTTCAAGAGCCATTCTTGCTGTTGTTTTTAGAGAGAGAAGAAAAGAGATGTAGTGTGTAGAAGAGGAAATTAGGAAGTTTGACTGAGAAGAAGAACTTGAAATCCGAGGATGTTTGGTGGTTTGTGAACGCTAGGGGCCTGGGGTTTATATAGGAGTTTTGGGGAATTAAAAAATTTTTACGTGAATCAGGGACTGATGGGGACAAGGGTGTCGTGTTAAACAACGGGGTTTTAGTCTTTTCGTGGTGGGTTTTGAGAGGCAACGGCGTCGTTTAATGTTCTAGGGACCTACGTACAGGGAGCGACAGTTGAATCCTGAATCTTCCGGTCATCAGTTACTGAAAACATCGGACTGTATGTGTGTCCGCCTGTTGCGGCAGTTGAATCTAACGCCTCTGCAACTTTCCAAATAGAAATTCTGGATATGGGGGTCGGTGCAAGTAAAAGGAAATTTAATAAATTAAAAATTACGAAGTGGATAACGTTAATTTAATTCAATACGAAAAGTCGTGTACATCAAGAGCATCCTATGTCTGTGTTTACCAATCACCCCAGGTCCACCTAAATTCCCGCTGCCGGTCCATTGGATGCATCTTAAATTACGACTAAAACCGGAGGTCATTTCTGTCATTTGACATGAAGCGGGATTATTGCCTGCAAACCAAAACTGAGTTCATGCATGAATCGGCATTCAATTGCTAAGACATGCATCAAATATAGCACAGAATCCGGACTGATTCGCACATGCGAGAACCAATTATAAATTCAATAAAAATCGGTCTCCAACTGTCACCGACCACCAGCTCTAACGACAACCCAAACCGTGTGAGCACTCGACAAGAAAGTCGTCATCCGTGCGCCACGTGTCCTCTTTGCCCTGCGTGGCTCTCCCACAGGAGTCGGTCAGAGTTGTTCAGAAATTTTCGTGGAGTTGAACGGTCGAGTGGGACACACAAAATGCGAGTTGTGGGTCAAATTAAACCCGAACTAAATCCCAATTTGAACCCGGTGGCCTATACCTAGATCTAGAGGCCCCAGATCCACCGTCCACGACGAAATCCACACAACCCCCTAAACGCCGGGGCGGTTACGCCACGTGGCAATCAGCTTCCTGGAAGCAAATTGCTTTGGTTTCTTTTCACTTTTTTTTTTCTTTTTTTAATATTGTTGGGTTGCGCTGCGCCATTAACGGGCGTGGTCAGTAGGAAACTTCTGAGACAGGTTTTGGATAACGAGATAATCCGGTTAAAAGTCGACCTCTAGACACAGAATATTCGAATATGAAAAACTACTGGTCCAAGTCGGGCTTGCTTTTGGTCAAGTCCGTCTTGGTGTGAGTTTGATTCGGTGTAAGTCGGACTGGAATTGAATTTATAAATTTATAAATTAAAACTTGATAATCACGTTGAGTGAGTTATAATAATTAAGTTATTTTTCATTATTATTTAAAAAAAAAAATTTATTAAACTTTATTTTTAACTAAATAAAATATTAAAAATATGTTATTAATAAAATTTGTCAAATTCGAAATGGAATAACGAGAATTGTGTAAATCTCAAATGTTATAAATTATTTATAAGTATCAAATTCTTTTAAATATTACTCTTTGAAAACACTATTCCCTATCTCTTAAAAAAATAAATAAATAAATAAACTCTACATATTCAGCATAAAAAGTCATATGGTCAAATTTTTTTTTTTAGTAAAAGATATGAATATAATGCTCTCAAGGAAACCATACCAACGGATATGACTTGGAGTTAGCAATGCAATTTTACCAATGGGGACTCAGTACCCGAAACTAACTCAAAACAGTTCAAGTGGACTCCTAACAAATTGGGTTTCGATCATTTGACCCAATCCTACTGTGCATAATAAGAGTTTACAAAATCAAATTAAACCAAATTAAATCAATTTTTAAAATTTAATTTAGTTTTCTTAAATTTAATTTAGTTGGATTTAGTTTATTTTGGTTTAGTTTAAAATAATTAAACCACATCAGTCTAAATCAAAATCTAAAATTTTGAAAATATTTTTCTTCTATAAAACAAAAATACACACACACACATATATATAAATATATATATAGTTATACATATAAATTTTATCTATTCATATAAATATATATACATACATATATGTACACATATGCGCACACATGTAAATATATATATGTGTATACGTGTACACACACATATACATAAGTGATAAATATATGTATTTACATATTTATACATACGTATATACAATACATATATGTATGTGTATGCGCGCGCGCACATGTGCACACATATACATATTTTTTATATTTATATGAATATATATGCGTATACATATACATATACGTAAATATATACATACATATATATTATACAAGCACACACACAAATGTACGTGTATTTACATACATATTTGATAATAAAAATTAAATAAATAATTTATTTATATATTTATTAAATAATAATAAATTAAATTTAAAATCAAATCAAATCAAACTAAATAAAACTGAAATTTTAGGTTTGATTTGATTTGGTTTAGTTTGATTTAGTTTAGTTTATAATTAAATTCATTTGATTTGGTTTGTAAATATTAAAACTAAAAAATCAAAAAACTATATCTAATTATCAAAAATTGACCTAAAATTATGAATCGTAAACCACTGACTACGCAGCCAAATTTACTAGAGCCAACAGAGAAGAAGTCCAAAAATAATAAGCTTGATCCATAAATTCCGAAAAGCTTGCGTGCAAGATTTGTCAATAGTTCTATACGTACTACTCAATTTAAAAAAGAAAAAAAAGAAAAAAGAAAAGAGGTGGTGTGGTGAAGGTGACATGAAATAAAAATATTACGCCGCTGAATGTGGTAACTTGTAGTTCTGATTGTTGATCTTGCTAATTTTTACCTTCTATGGGGTTAGTTGGAAGTCAAGAGCGTGAGGCACGAGTCGTTTTTAATTTGACCATTTATTTTGAATGTTCAGTAAATTATTCTGCATGAAGAATGCAGGTGGTTAAGGAATTGTGGGAATACCTTGTGGATATTTTGGTCAATTCACGTGAAACTTGGTATCTGCAAAATATTGTAATTCATGTTTATGCTTTTTTTTATTTTGGGTAAGACATGGTAATTATGAAAATTACCCCAAAATTGATGAATTAATTGGAAGAAATTTCTAGATTGCATTTTTTTTTCGGCCTAACCAGGTCCAATTAGACAAATTGCTCAGTGCACGTCAAAAAAAAAATAATTTTCCCTTTTTTAATTTTTTGTAATTTGGTGCATACCCAAATTGCATAATAAAGAGTGGAAGGCTACGGCAGCATCATACAATGGATTGAAGGACCAATTTGTAACATTCCAAAAATGAAGTCCTATGTTGAAAAAAAAAATCCCAACAGTTATAAAAACTATGCAAACAAACTTCTCTATCAAATATATACTTCAATTTATATTCACATACCCAACATGATACAAATTACATAAACGTCACAAGCAATCGAAAATCTCCTTACTTAAACAATCTTCTACACCAGGAGAGGCCTCCTCTAAAAGCCAAGGCCATCCTCTTCAATTCTAAGTTGAAAATTAATTGAGCTATGTACAAAGTTAAAAAACTACGCATCCAAATTTACTTCAATTCAGCAACTAAATTTGCATATGGCCAGCCTAGGCAGCCGATGGTGCCCTAACGTGTTTAACGGCACCGGCCTTCGATAGCGCCGCCATTCGCTTCTCAATTTCGCTTTCGGCTCTACTCCTATAATCCAAAGAGTCATCGTTGTAAATATCCCACCATTTCTTCACCAGCATTTTTATGTCTTCCCTCTCCATGTGTTCTTCTTTTCCCGTGTACCTCCATGGCTTTGACCCCTGAATCACCAATGAATTTACAAATTTGCCCCAATTAGCAAGCCATATGTAACTTGGATGCAATTTGGGTTTGTATACCGCCTATTCTATTTTAATCAAAATAATTAAAAACCCACTTATAAAAAAAATAAAATCAATTATATTGCATTCATGAAAAATGGATTACTATCGAATTCTCATTTTTTTTTATTCGTAAATTTATATAGTGTTAACATGTGTGGATTTTATATTGCATTTCTTATATTTAATATTATTTTTTAAAATTATTATCACTTTAATATATAAAATATTCATTAATAATTATTTTCAGAATATTATTTTTAAAAAAACTCCTCTCGGAAATAACTGTAGGATGTTTTCAAAATTCTAAGGATTCAAAATGATTAAAAACTTTTAGAAAATCCAAAAGGGCCTATTCAATGGAGGAAAATCGAGGGTGGATTTGTGAAGGGTTTGTAACATCACTCACCGCAGCACAATAGTGGACAACCTTCACTTTCTCCAGCTCGATGTTCTCGGGATGCCGCTGCTAGGAATGTAAATGGGTCGGGTTCAGGTAAGATATTGAAATATCCATATCCATATCCGAATAAAAATTTAATATCCATATCCATATCCATATCCAAATGGGTAAAGAGTTATTTCTCCATATCCATATCCATTTAAATATTATTTACCCATATCCACATTCATATCCATTTAAATACAAGTTACCCATACCTAAATCCATATCCATTTTAATACCAACTACCCATATCCATATCCATTTAATAAATAATTTGATATGTAACATAATCATAAAAATTAAAGAGATTCCAAAAGAATTGCAAATTTTTTAAAAAATTTTAAAAGTTAAGAAAAGAAAATTTTTTGAAAAGTTAATGTTATTTAGAGAAAAAAACTTTTAAAAGTACATTTAAAAATGATCAAATATTTAATTTTAAAGTGTTAAGAAGTACTGTTAAAATATTATCTATTTTATTAGATATAAAACTATAATCCTATCACACATATATTAAAGTGTTAAGAAGTATTGTTAAAATATTTTAGATGTTAAAATTGAATAATAATTTGATCACTGTATTGTTGGTATGGTAACATATATAAGTTATGTTCTGTACTAGTTCAAAACCATTTTTTTGTTTGACAATTATTAATAAAATAACTATTAAATTTGAATTTGTATAGTTATTAAAGTTTAGTTTCACCATTGTAATTTAATTTTATTACATGTTATTTTTCAATTTAATTATTACATATTCTTATATAAATAGTTAAGCTCTTTCTTTTTTGTAAAATATGTTTTTATAATCTTTCAAAAATATTTGAATTTCCAACATTATATATCTTATGAATTATGATGTTCATATAAAAAAAATATCTTAGGATATTATACATAAATATATGTATATATATTTATATATACATGTATATATATAAATATATAAGTATATATGTATAAAATTCGGGTATATAATATGGGTAATTGGAAATAGATAAACGGGTATACAAATACGGATATATGGGTATAGGTATTCGGGTATTTGGTATTATTACATAAAAACCATATCCGAACCCGAACCGAAAAAAAATAATAACTTATAACCGAACCCGATCCAGAAACCGAATTATAATGGCCGAATCCGAATCCGAGTCGGGTAAATGGTTCGGGTACCTGCAAAACCCGAATCCATTTACATCCCTGGCCGCCACAGCATGGCCAAGACAAGGTTGTACACCGAAGGGATAGGCTTGTAAATATCTCTAAAGAACATATTCAAAAAGTCCTGCAGGTAACACCAATAGCACCGTGATTTGTATTTACTCGACCGAACAAGAAGTAAAGGTTGCTGAAATGACCTAAATGGGTCCCGTACCTGCTCGGCAAAAGAGGTGGGAGCGGTGACTTTGAGGGTGTTGAGAAGATCCTCATAAACGGAAAGGCTTGGCTCGTACACGAACATGCCGGCATTGAAGTACAGCGCGGCTTCGGACCCATCTCTGCGGGCCATTGGACCCTCTCCGGGCACTGCTGGCAATACCCTATCTTGTACTGGGAAGTATCAGACCATGTCTTCTCACAAAAACAGTCCTTGACGGCGTAGAAGTAGCCGTCCGGCAAGTCAAAGAGGTGGTCAATGTTCTCGTACACCTGAATGTCTCCGTCCAGGTATATCATCTTGTGGTACTCCACAAACTGTAGTTTAAAGTAAAAAGGGAAAAAGAAAAACGATGGCAATATTAATTTAAACGCGATGGAAGAATATTGTTCGTAGTCCAGAGTCTGGAGTAAAAGAGCGGAACCATATGCTTACCTCCCAAATGCGGAGCTTGGAGTAGTTGATGACGTAGTAAGCCATGGCGAACTGGGTCTTGTTCTCCGGGGGATACACTGGCTCGATCTCCCTGACTATGCAACCCTGCTCCACCAGCATGCGGCGGTGCTCCTCTGGAACGTCCGGCAGCGCCGCCACAACGAGCGGGTAAGCCGTCCGAACCTTCCTGAGTCCCTTGGCCAAACCTATCACCCCCTTCACATAGTCTCCGTTGCCGGCAAGGAACGTCACGAAGGCCCGGCTTCTGAGGCTTGCAGCCTTCGCCAGTCCGGCAGCGTTGGTAGCAGCCTTCATCACAGTACCCATATTGTCGTCTAGAGAGAGAAAAGAACTGAAGATTGTGTTTGCAAGTTTGAAGTATTCTGACAACTACTGTTAATCGCAGGATGCTTGGTGATTTCTGAATGTCAGGGGGTCTGGGGTTTATATAATGGTTTTGGGGAGGGGAGGAAGGAGGGGATTTAGAATGGTTTGGCAGAGTGTGGTGATAGCGACAGGGTTGTCGTTAAACGACGGTGTTTTGTGATGTTCTTAGAGAGACAACTTTTTGAGGTCTCTGAGGCTAGATACGATCAGTGTATAGTGACAAAACCAAACCGTGTGAGCCCTCCACAAGAAAGTCGTCATCCGTGCGGCTACCTCTGTGCCCTCCGCGGCTCTCCCACAGGCGTCTGTCAGTGTTGTTTGGAAATTTTCATAGAGTTGAACGGTCGAGTGGGGTCCACAAAATACGAGGTGTGGGTCAAGTCAAACCGAACCTAAATCCCGCTTAGAGCCCGGTGGCCTACACCTTGATGTAGAGGCCCCACACCCACCGCCCACAAACAAATCCAACCAAGTAGCTAAGGGACTGTTCGCCACGTGGCAGTCAGCTTCCTGGAAGCTGGTTGCCTTTTCTTTTCACTTTTCACTTTTCACTTTTGCTTTTCCTTTTTTGTTGAATATTGTTGGGTTGCTCCATTAACAGGCGTAGTAAGTCGGAAACTTGTGAGATAGCGTTTGGATGGGGAGATAATATGGATAAAAGTCGACTTCTAACGTTAATCCAGGCCGACAGCATATTCGAATACGAATAACAACCGGTCTAAGTCGGGCGCACATTTGGTCAAGTTGGTCTTGGTGTGAATTTGATTCGGTGTAATTTTATAAATTCAATTCCCGTCCGAAACTGAATTTATAAATTTATAATTTACAGTTGATAATCACATTGAGTCGGTTATATTTTAGTTATTTTTTTATTATTATAATAAAAATACATATTTTATATAAAAATGCTTTAACATTATTTTCTTTAATTAAATTATTAAATTTTTTAAATTTAAAATAGAAGGACAAAAATGGTGTATTTTTCGTTTTTATGAATTTTTAAGAGAATTAAGTTCAAATAAGAAGACATATCTATTTGTTTAATATTAAATACTCTTATTAGATTTAACATTATTAGATCAATATCAAATTTTGATATGGGTTCAGTGAATTTCAGTCACACTCGTATTAACCAGATTTGCAAATGCGAGTATTTGGTATCTTCTGACGATTGAATTCTAAGATGAAGTTATAAATGAATATGACTAAAAGTTTACAATGAAATTTTATCAACAAGAACTCAAAACTAACTCAAAACAATTCAGAACTTTTAACAAAAATTGGGTTTTGATCATTTGGCCAATCCTACCATGCACCCAACTTTAGTGGCCAACAAAGCAAAAGCCAAAAAAAAAAAAAAGCTTGATTTATAAATTCCAACAACCTTGCGTCCAAGAATTGTCAATAGTTCTACCCACATTGAAAGCAAAAAAGGAAGAGTGTGGTGAAATTGACGTGATCAAATTTGTAATACGCAGATTTGGTAACTTGTGGACCTGATTATTGATCTTGCAAAGTTTAATCTTCACATTTTACAGCATTAGCTGGAAGGCGAGAAGGTAAGACGCTAGTCATTTTAATTTGACCAATTGTTTCAATGTTCAATTGTTAACTATGCATGAAGAATGCAGGTGCTCGAGAAATTGTTGAATACTTTGTGGATATTTTGGTCAATTGATATCAAACTTGGAAGTTGGAATTAGTAAAATATTGTAATTCATGTTTATGCTTCTTAGTTTGGGTGAGACACAATAATTATTAAATTGCCCCATAATTAATTTATTAATTGGAAGAACTTTCTAGGTTGCATTTTTTTTAATTGCTCAAGTGCTCGTCGGGTTTTGAACCCTCAATTGCTTCTCTGGGTTTGAAGTTTGAACCCTCAAGCCCCGTAGTAAAGAATTTTCTTTTCTTCTTTTTTATTTTTTGGTGTACACAAAATTGTATAGGAAATAATTGAAGGCTATGCAATGGTTTGATGAACCAATTTGTAAGATTCCAAAAATAAATTACCACGAAGGAAAACAAAAACCTACATTTATAAACACTATACAAAAACTTCTCTGTTAAATATATTTTTTAATTTATATTCACATACCCAACATGTTACAAGTCATATAAATGTCACAAGCAATTGTAAATCTCCTTAAACAATCTTCCACTCCAAGAGAGGCCTCCTCTAAAAGCTGAGGCCTTTCTCTTCAATTCTAAATTGAAAAATAATTAATCCATGTCTAAAGTTGAAAAATTACACATCAAAAGTTACTTTAATTCAGCAACTAAAATTGCACATGGCCAGCTTAGGCAGCTGATGGCGCCGTAACGTACTTCACAGCACCGGCCTTTGACAGCGCCGCCATAAGCCTCTCAGTTTCGCTTTCGGGTCTCCTATAATCCAAAGAGACATCGTTGTAAATATCCCACCAGTTCTTCACTAACATTTTTATGTCTTCCCTCTCCATGTGCTCTTCTTTCCCTGTGTATCTCCATGGCTTTGACCCCTGAATCACCAATGAATTTACAAATTTGCCCCAATTAGAATGCCACATGTAATTTGGGTGCAATTTGGGTTTGTGTACCACCTATTCTATTTTAATATAAAAAACCCACTTATAAGAAAAATAAAATCAATTACATTGAATTCATGAAAAATGGATTACTATCAAGTCTTTTTCATTAGTAAATTTATATAGTGTTAACTTAACATGCGTTAATTTATATTGCATTTCTTAAATTTAATATTATTTTTTAAAATTATTATCACTTTAATAAATAAAATATTTCATTAATAATTATTAAAAAAAACTCCCGGAGGATGTTTTCAAAATTCTAAAGATTCAAAATGATTAAAAAAAGTTTAGAAAATCCAAACGGGCCTAATTAATGGAGGAAAATCAAGGGTGCATTTGTGAAGGGTTTGTAACATCACTCACCGCAGCACAGTAGTGGACAACCTTCACTTTCTCCAGCTCGACGTTCTCGGGGTGCCGCCACAGCATGGCCAAGACAAGGTTGTACACCGAAGGGATAGGCTTGTAAATATCTCTAAAGAACATATTCAAAAAGTCCTGCAGGTAAAACCAATAGCACCGTGATTTGTATTTACTTGCCCGAACAAAAAGTGAAGTTTGCTGAAATGACCTAAATGGGTCCCGTACCTGCTCGGCAAAAGAGGTGGGAGCCGTGACTTTGAGGGTGTTGAGAAGATCGTCATAAACGGAGAGGCTTGGCTCGTACACGAACATGCCGGCATTGAAGTACAGCGCCGGCTTCGGACCCATCTCTGCCGGCCACTGGACCCTCTCCGGACACTGTTGGCAATACCCGATCTTGTACTGGGGAGTGTCGGACCATGTCTTCTCACAGAAACAGTCTTTGACGGCGTAGAAGTAGCCGTCCGGCAAGTCAAAGAGGTGGTCAATGTTCCCGTACACCTGAATGTCTCCGTCCAGGTATATCATCTTGTGGTACTCCACAAACTGTAGTTTAAAATAAAAAGGGAAATGAAAAACGATGACAATATTAATTTAAACGTGATGGAAGAATATTGTTCGTAGTCCAGTGTCTGGAGTAAAAAAGCGGAATCATATGCTTACCTCCCAGATGCGGAGTTTGGAGTAGTTGATGACGTAGTAAGCCATGGCGAACTGGGTCTGGTTCTCCGGGGGATACACTGGCTCGATCTCCCGGATTATGCAGCCCTGCGCCACCAGCATACGACGATGCTCCCCCGGAACGTCCGGCAAGACCGCCACCACGAGCGGGTAAGCCGTCCTAACTTTTCTGAGTCCCTTGGCCAAGCCTATCACGCCCTTCACGTAGTCTCCATTGCCGGCGAGGAACGTCACGAACGCCCGGCTGTTCAGGCTCGCCGCCTTCGCGAGTCCGGCCGCATTGGTGGCAGCACTCATCACAATATCCATTTTGTCGTCTGGAGAGGGAAACGAACTGAAGATTGTGTTTGGATGTTTGATGTATTCTGACAATAACTGTTAATCACAGGATGTCTGGTGATTTCTGAGGGTCTGGGGGTCTGGGGTTTATATAGTCGTTCCCCACCGACACCGCCCCCCCCCCCCCCCCTCGTGGTGATTGCGACAGGGTTGTCTCACTAAACGACGGTGCTTTAAGATGTTTTTAGGGAAAGAACGCTCCGTGGTTTCGGGACAGCTTGATACGAACAGTGTGCAGGGATTCCGCAATCTTCGGATTATTAGCTACTGAGAACATCGGACTGTACGTGTGTCAGCGTCAATCTAACGGCCCTGCAACTTTTTGAATATAAAAAAGTGAAGTCGGTGTCACGTAGAAGGTAATTTTAAAATTTACAATTAGAAAATGTATAAAGTAAAAGTAGTTTTTATTTCAAAACCGATGCGCGTCCGTAAAAGAGTCCTTATCTTTATCGCAAAATCAGCCTTTGGTCTCCTTAAATTCACACATTTGGTTCTACAGGTGCAACTGTAATATGAACAACATAGAGATAAGTCCAGCAGCTCGAGAGCAGAGAGTGATTATCATCTGTGAAGGATAACAGGGTTCATTTGTTATTCGTAATCTGGGATATCACGCACGTGTCATTTTTTCACACGCACGAGAATCGAAAGGTCCATATTCAAATCTTATTTACCATACTAACCAATGTGCTGTACCTGATCCTGCACCAGTGTGAATTAATCTTGGAATTCAAACATAAAGCGGCCTCCAACCGTCACCGACTGCGACCGATCCCTTAACGTGCATGCCGTCCACAAGAAAGTAGTCATCCGTGCTGCCACGTGCCTCGTCCACCCCAGCGTGGTGCTTGCACAGCCGTCGGTTAGTATTATGTGGAATTTCCCAGAAGTTGAACGGTCAGTGGGGACAACATTAAATATGAGCTGTGGGGTCCACCTGACCTCCACTAGAGGCCCTACACTCACCGCCCACGAGCAATCCATGCAAACATCGCAAGGGCAGGATTGCGCCACGCGGCGAAGATGCTTTCTGAAGGCAACGGTTTCTTCGTTTTCTGGAGCTGCGGTCGCCGGAATAGTTGGATTGCGTCTTTTGAATGGGTTTAGTAAGGATTTGGACAAGGAGGTAATGTAAGATAATAGTCGGACTTCAACGCCGATTGTCGGCCGACCTAAAACACGACTTTCCGCTAGTTGCTGGAGTACTTATGATTTTTTAAACTGTATCAAACCTAATTATATTCTACTGAACTATATTGAGAATTAAATTTTTTAAAAAGAAATTCATAAATTTTGATATTAAATAATATGTACCAAATATTTTGGTAGAATTTTAATTTTATAAATTTAAAGCTGACAAAAAATTATATCGAACCGAATATTATATATAATAATTTAGTAAATTATTTATATCTATATAAAATGATTAAATTTCAAAATATAACTATAATTCAATAGTAAATTAAATAAATTAAAGAGTTAAGGACTTTATATGAAAAATAAGTGTAAATGTTATGAATTAAAGTAAAAAGAATTTTTAAGATATGCCTTATACTTTTACAACTAATTTATTAACTTATACATTTATTAGAAAATGAGATTATTCTTTTTTTATTTTTTCTTTTATTATCAAATTTATGTTATAATATAGTAAATCACTTACCAATTTATTATCTAATCTAAATTTCATAAATTACCTAATACATAATAAGCCCTAACGTTAAAAAAAAGAATTTCTTAAATACATTTTTTCATTGTAAATAAATAAAAAGTCTCACTTAACATATCTAAAAAGTAGTTCAAGAAAAAACTTAAATGAAAAAAATTACATGTAAAGAAATTTGAACTAAGTTTTAGACTTTTTTTCTTCCATCAAAAACTTTAAGTTAAAAAATTATCATCACTAAATAAATACAAATAATTGAGAATTAAATTTCAATTTTTAAAATAGAAATTGTTGAATTTTATATTTTAATTATCAATAAAAAAAAACAAGTGTAAAGTAATGAATACATATTTAAAAAAATAAAATTAAAGTTAAACTATACCATACTAATATATTATACATAATAATTTATTAAATTATTTATATTATATATAAAATTATTAAATTCTAATAATTGGATTATAAGTTATTATTAAAGTATTTATATTATATGTAAGTTAATTAAATCTTTTAATATGGTAGGTTTTTAATTAAATTGATTAAAAGTTTCATAATAAATTAGATTAAACAAAATTGACTTTTTCATTATTTTTATATGATTTTTAATTTGTTTCTAATATATTGTGAAATTGAGAATATAAAGTTATAGATGGTTATTAATAAAAGTTTTGAAATTAAATCCTTAAATGTAGGAAATTATTAATATTATATAATCTTGAAATAATTTGATTTTTCATATTGGTTATATTATAAAAAAATATTTTTTGTGTGATTTTGTAAAATTTTTATTAGTTTAATTAAATATTTTAATATAGTTAAAAAAATCGTAAAAATTATAACGAACTGTACCGAAACCGAATAAAACTAAAATAATAGTACTGGTATCAAAAAGTATGATTTTGATATTAACGTTAAAAAAATCGAAATAATTGGTATAGTATAATTTTATGAAAAAACTGAACCGTGAACACCCTAATTAGTTGTGTTTTTTTCTGTTGACTCTTGACAATTTTGAAATATTTGTTAAATAAGTATTTTAATTAGCATTTAATAGTAATTGAATAATTATTAAATTAATAAATTAGTGATCAAGATCTAATATCAAATATAATTATCCACCTTACCCCTTTCTCTTCTCTTATTCCCTCTCCACCATCTACAGATAGGCCGCATCGCCGCCACCACTACTAGACAGACTGCCATGCGATGAGGAGCTTCGTTGCCGCTATGCACGACGACAGGGAGGAGGGTGCGCATGGCAACAGGGAGATTTGTCATCACTGAGTGTGCCCTATTACCACTACGCGCAGTGACAGGAAGAGGGGTGCGCACGGCGATGGGGAGGGGGTTCGCCGTTGCACATGGCGACGAGGAGCTCCGTCGTTGTGTGTAGTGACCAACTACTAGTAGGGTAGCCGGAAGTAAGAGAGAGATGAGGGAAAAAAAGAATAATTGTAAATAATGGTAAAAAAAATTGTATATAAGGGTAAAGTGGCCTTTTTATTCTAAAAATTTTTCCACAATCACTTTATAAAATTATCTTCAAAATACAATTTTATTAATTTCAAGAATTTTTTTATATATTTTACAAACACCTCTACTTCTGATTAAAATTTGATTTTCTCCACTTCTGTTTAAAATTTTCACTTCTAATTTTTCATAAGTATTGGCAAACATCCTCTAAGTAGGAAACTTCTGAGACAGGCTTTGGATAAGGAGATAATACGGTTAAAAGTTGACTTCTAACCTAAATCCTGGCCGACATTAAGACATAGCATATTCAAATTTGAATAACTACTGTTGTGAAGTTGAGCTTGCTCTTAGTCAAGTCCGTCTTGGGGTGAGTTCGATCATATGACCCACTCTTACCATGCAGCCAACTTTACCATAGCCAACAGAGCAAAAGCCCAAAAATACTAAACTCCATTTATAAATTCCAACAAGCTTGCCTGCAAGATTTGCCGATAGTTCTACTCAATTAAAAGACAAAAGAAATAGAATGGTGAAAATAAGAGTGTTCATGGTTTTCAAAATTGTACCACATCAAATTTTATAGTATTGAAAGTTAGGTTTAAAAAAAATTATAGATTTTGGTAATAGGTAATATCGTATCGAATATTTTAATATAGTTTTGATTTTATAAATTTAAAATTAACAAAAAAATCATACTGAACTGAATATTATATATAATAATTTATTAAACTATTTATATCATATATAAATAATTAAATTTCTAAGCATTAACTAAAATTCAGTGTTAATTTAAAGAAATTAAAAGGTTAAAGATTTGCATGAAAAACGAAGTGTAAATATTAAAGATCAAAGTGTAAACATGATTTCAATATATACCTCATACTTTTTTAACTAGTTTCTTAACTTTTGTATATCTATTAGAGAATAAGGTCATTCCTTTTTTTTGTTTTTTCTTTTTTAATCAAATTTATATTATAATGTAATAAATCACTTATCCATTTACCACTTAATTTAAATTTTATAACTTACTTAGCAGATAGAAAGTCCTAACTGAAAAAAAAAAAACTTCTTTAATATACTTTTACATTATACATAAATAAAAAATTTCACTTAACAAATCTTAAAAGTAGTTTTAGAAAAAAAAAATTTAAATGAAGAAAATTACATGTAAAGAAATTTGAATTAAGCATTAGACTTTTTTTTTCTATCAAAAAACTAAGGTTAAAAGAATTATCATTACCAAATAAATACAAATACTTGAAAATTGAACTTCAATTTTTTAAATAGAAATAATTGGATCTTACATCTCAACTATCAATAGAAAAATAAGTGTAAAATAATGAATACATATTTTAATAAATAAAATTAAAATTTAAACTATATTATACTGATATTATTATATATAATAATTTATCAAATTATTTATATTGTATAAAATTATTAAACTTATAAATAATTGGACTATAAATTATTAATTAAAGTATTGTATTATACATAGGTTAATTAAACCCCTAATGATGGTTGGTTTTTAATTAAATTGATTAAAAATTTCATGTTAAATTTAATTAAACAAAATGGATTTTTTCATTAGTTTTAATACTATTTTTAATTTGTTTCTAATGTATTATGAGATCGAGAATATAAAATTATAAATAATTATTAATAAAAATTTAAAATTAAAACTTTAAAAGTAAGAAATTATTAATATTATATAATCTCAAATGAATTTGATTTTTTCGTGTTGGTTATATATTAAAAAAAAATTGTGTGATTTTGTAAAAATTTTATTAGTTACTTAAATATTTTAATATAATTAAAAAACTGTTAA